TAAATTCCCCCCCCCAAAGGTGACTAGGGGTCCCCAAGCCCCTAGTCACCCCCCCTACCCAAATAATCTACCTACCCCCCTCACCCTAAAAAATAGTGAGGGGGGAACGCACGCCGCACTGGTTGGAACGCACGTATAACTATGTGCGTTCCAATGAAGAAAAAGGAAGTGGAATAGTATAACTATGTGATGGACGCACGCGCGCACGTACGTGATTGACGCATGCACGCACGTACGTGCGTTCCAACCAGTGCGGCGTGCGTTCCACGGAGTCAACTTCCGGTCCGACAGATGCCGGCAATTTTATCATTTTGACTTGTATAAAAGAACAAGAGGACACACAACATACATACCAACTGAGGAAGCCAGTTCACTGGCGAAACGCGTTTTGGGAGTACATTGGAATCATTTTAAGTATTTTGATTCATCTTGATTTTATATATATTTTAAAGTTTATGTTTTTATACAATAAATTTTGTTTATACCGTCCTGTGGAGTCTGCAATTCCATTCCTACTTATATGTATGGAGGAAGACATCAGGAGGAACATAAAGAGGGTGGTGGATCTCCCCTAGAAGAGTTCTATTGGCTCCACCTTTGTGAGTTACCCATCTCAAAGTTATTTTTTATGCTTATTCATTTGTAATTATTGTCTACACTTAGATCTATCACTATTTACTTACAGATTTTTATCTTGACAATATTTCTATTCATCACCTATATATTACTGTTCATACAGGTAATCCAGAGCTCCACTTATATTTTGTTTTATTTGCATATCCCCACAAATAATATGTCCCCTGATAGCCCCGATCTGGGTGACCAACATATTCAAATTTCACCCAGATCGGTTCAGGGGTTCTCAAAAAATTTGGAAGTCTTCTGTGACCGGCTCACCGTGGGCTGGCTGCCTAAAATAGTTCCATGAGTTTGGTGGGTTTTGCCGGTCACTTCAGTAAAAGGGAAAAAAACAAATAAAGTACCGAATGGATCCCCCTGGCTCTCAGCAGCAGTTATTCCCCTCTGTCGAATGCACCAAAGTACCGAATAGCGCTCTTCTAGCTATTCAGGAATTAGAGTTCCAGTGTTCGTCTGTTTGAGACAAGTGTTCGGGAAGTCAAGTGTCCGATTTTAGTTCCAGACACTCGACGACCAAGTCCCGCTGCCTTTGTTCGGCTGAAAAAAGATGGCCGCGGTTTTCTCAGCATGGCGTTCGGTAGTACGAATGCTGGCCGCACAGATAGAAGGGTTGTTGACAAGTTCTTTGAAGCTTAATGAGCCAGAGGGTTGGTCTTTGTTCGGTAGTTTAAATCTACCGAATGAATAAAGGTGAGATGAGGTGAATAAATAGGGAATAAATAGGGATTTCTTCACAGGTTGCATTGTGTGTGTGTGTATGTGTGTAATGGATGCATTGTGTGTTTCTCTGTGTGTAAGGGAAGCATGTTGAGTTTCTGTGTATGTATAGGGATGCATTGTGTGTATGTATGCGCGTAGTGTGAAAGAGCTCCCTGTCCTGCCCCCTGTCCTATAGAGCTGTCCCTTCTGTCCCTTAGAGCTATCCTCTGCCCCTTAGTGGTCTCGCCTCTCCCCACCCTCCCCTAGCGGTCTCTTCTCACACTCACCCACCCTCCCTGTGCTCTTCTCATCCCCCCTCCACCCTCCTTGTGTTCTTCTCACTCCCCCCTCCATGTGTTCTCCTCACCCCCCTCCTCCCTGTGTTCTTCTTACTTTCCCCCTTGTTCTGCTTACTCCCCCAACTGTTATTCTTATCCCCCTTCTTCTTCGCCCCCACTCCCCTTCTTCTTACTCCCCTTCTTCTTATTACTCCCCCTTCTTCTTACATTGCTCCCCTTCTTCTTACCCCCCTGTTCTTCTTCTTACCCCCCTCATGTACCTTCTTACTCCCCTTCTTACTTCCCACCCCTTGTTCTTCTTACTCCCCCTTCTTCTTCTTACCCCTTCTTCTTCTTACTCCCCCTTCTTCTTTTTACCCCCCTTCTTCTTCTTACCTTCTTCTTACCCCTTCTTCTTCTCCCCTTCTTCTTCTTACTCCCCTTCTTCTTCTTACCCCCCTCTTATTCTTACTTCAAGCCTCTTCTTCTTACTCCCCTTCTTCTTACTGTCCCTTCTTTTTCTTACCCCCTCTTCTTACTCCCCCTTCTTCTTACTGTCCCTTCTTTTTCTTACCCCCTCTTCTTACTCCCCCTTCTTCTTACTGTCCCTTCTTTTTCTTACCCCCTTCTTCTTCTTACTCCCCACTCTTCTTCTTACTCCGTCTCCTTCTTCTTATCCGCCTCTTTATCTTATATCCCCTCCTTCTTACTCCCCCC